TGATCTTGGACTTAGAATTTTCACTTTTAATTTTAAGGACATTAAAAGCCTCTGAAGTGAATCCTGGATCTCCGTTAATTTTATTATACCAATTGACCAGTGTCCTTGGATGCGGTAGTGAGTTATTTAACGCTGCTCGAACATATTTATAGGCCGCAGGGGAGTAAAAGTTGAGTGTTAAAGCAAATTTTTTTAATATGGTAGGAAATTTTTTAAAAGTTCTATTCTTTTTGAAAGTTTTTTTAAATTCTTCCATCAATTGTACTGTTTCATCATTTAAATTTAGTTGCATTTCTTCTTCTTCGGTCAACATACGTTTTTCTTTCAGTTCCTGTAAAATATCTCTTAATTTTTTGTTTTTTATTTTTAATCTTATATTTTTCTGTGATATATTTTTTATTTTTCTTAGTCTTTGTGCGGAAACAATTTTTAACCGGTGAATTATTTTTCTCATTTTGTGCTTTCGCGGGGATTCAATTATTTCATTGATCTCTTCATCGGTATCTATAATATCTACTTCCATATCGTCTTTAACTAAAAGCTCTACCGGCTCTTCAGCATGTGAGTTGTCCTGAAAAAATTACATCATTTTGTAATCAAAAACACTATGTAAACTGAATTCTAAGTTTAACAAAACTGTTGCAGTACACAATTTATTTGGATTTGTATTTAACCATTGTTGCAATGCGAATTTTATGAGAAATCATTTTTAGGGTTGCGTACTCAAAGGATACCAACGGAACCCATAAAAATCAGCCAAGAGCGACTTGTACTCGTACATGGTATAGACACGAAACGACCTGGTCGAGTGCGAATCAGGCGAAACCGTCCGTTCGACTCGCATTCGACCAGATCTATTGAGACTAAAATTTCTTATGTTATAACAATATCAATTACCCCCTTCAATCTTAACTTACAACAAATATTGGAATTGCTTTGTTGGATAAATAAATGCGGCCATAATTGCTTTTCGGCACTAGTTTGTCTTGCTCCCGGAAGTGCTTCGAACAAATGACTGTGGATTTAGTAGGTAGCCAATCCGTCTCTTTTCTCAGCAATCGAATTACTTCAACCCACTTCTCACGGCGTGCTCCGTCTTTAGGTATCCTATACAATTATTATTTAAAATTGATAATTAGTTAAGAAAAACAATGAATTAATTCTTTTGTACAAAAGTCTCCAGCACTGCGAGCTTGGCAGAAGGTGAACGTTCAACGGGTCCCTAAAAAAACCGTTCTTCCTATATTTTATTATTATTGGCAAAATGTTTAAAAACAGTATAAAGCATATTATTTCATAAATTATAAATTCTCCCACTAATGTGGGAAAACCAAAATGATTTTTTAATGGTAACACTGATTCTAAATTACAATTATCAATGTTTTATTTCAATTATAGCCTTATTTACGATATTATCAATACAAAAACCATAAACTTACACGTGATAAGTAATTCCGCATGATTTATTATGGTTTTCTGACCTTGAATCGCATTCTTTCACTACGCATTTAACCATTTTGTCGCTATGTTCAACTCGGTTGACGCCACTTTGAACACTGAATTGACGTTTGCTACGCATATGCCTGTGGACAGATGTGCAGTAGCAACGATTTTAGGCGGTAATTACTCATCTATGTAAGTATATATCAATGTTTCTTTGCAACTAAAACTTTCAGAACGCCGAATTTATTCTTCGGATAAATTTATTCGACGTTGGTGAAATCGGAATAAGTGAAGAATTATTGTTATTTTTGCCATTGCATGTCATTGCAATTAAGATATAAGAGATTAAAAGATAATAAGTTTTGTTATAAAGTGTGATTTATTAAGTTTAATCATTGTAATTCAACCCAAAGAAACAGTTACAAATTAGAAGTAGTATAATGTATGCGTAGTGGATATCAGAATAATTAAGATTCACTTGACTGATCAACACAATATAGTAATTATATTTTAATTTTTTACAATAAAATTGATTCAAATAATATAAAAAAAAACTCATTTATTCCTTATCTTAGTTAATTAGTGTGCAAAATCTCATTCTTCTGCCATAGTCATCATTCATCTGGCTGATTAATTCATCTGCACACTCTAAATCATAAATTACTGGGAGCAAAGCAGTGCCTTTTAAATAAATTAAATATATTTAATGACCTAGACAAACTAATATTTAAACTTGCATCTAATACTAAAAATTAATTTAAGCCAGACGAATTAGTCATTTACCCTCGGTTTCAAAGAATCACCCTTATATGGTTTCTGGAGTCACGTTGTAGCTGCTTAGACATGTAGGGGCCTGTTGGTCTAGTGGTTAGTGACCCTGACTGCTAAACCGGAGGGAGTATGTAAGTATTCTATCAGACAATCTAGGTTTTATAGTACAAGCTCCGCTTAGTTTGAAATTAGATGGATTTGAAATTAGATTTGATGTGTGTCAGATGTCCGGAATATTATTGACGCTTGATGCTACGCTACGCTTGACGGGTCTGTTCGGTCCTTGTCTAGTGGTTAGGGACCCACCACCCACCTGGGAATATACCTGGGAAATACCACCTGTCGGTGGCATGTCGGACTCGAACCGACTAAAACCGCACGCCTTCGCCGGGTACTAATAGCCGGGGAACCAGGTATACCCTAGAAAGGAAGTCCCTGGTGCCCCGACATACCTCGGGTCATCTACAGACGAGTAGACGACCCCCCCCGTGTGGGAACCCCATGTTCCCTGTGCTCCCTGGAAGCGAGCGCGCTTCGCAACGCGCTCGCCGCCACAACGGCCTGCTTCTGCTAGGGTGGGTGGTTAGGGACCCTGACTGCTAAGTGGCTTCGATTCCCACACAGGACAAATATTGTGTGATGAGCACGGTCATTTGTTCTGTGTTTGGGTGTAATGTATCTATTTAAAAATATATAAGTATGTTTATCAGCAGTCTGGTTACCATAGTACAGGCTCTGCCTAGTTTGGGATCAGACGGCCGTGTGTGATGTGTGACATATAAAAAAAATGTAGATACTTGGCAAAGTGCAGAAAACTACTTGATTTATATCCATTTTGCTATACAAATAAGAATAAGGTATGTGAAAGAGGAACCAAAAACCAAAGGTTCATGTTTTTTCCATTTTGGATTTAATTTTATAAAATCTGCTTAATTAATTTAATGGAAACTGAAGGTCATTGCGAACATAATGACCCATTAAAAAGTTAAAATGGACGAGGTCGGGAAGATACTTTTTTATTGCAAAATAACTTTGAAAACAGGTTTCTTTTCATAATGACCTGCTTTCAAAGTTATTTTCGCAATATCTCGGCAATAAAGCATTGTATCAGAAAAAGTTGAATACAAACGTTTCCGCGAGATTTCACTAAATTTCATCAACAACAACAACAACAACAAATCAACATCAACAACAACAATCAAATAATCAACATCTCTGGCACCCCGACTAAGTCTTTATATTGATATTTCATTGTACAAGTCTTTAAAATGACAGCTCGAGTTGTACTGGTCAATGATATAAGAAAACATTCATTACCTAATTATTTAAGGTGCTCATTAGAAACATAATAATGTATAGGCCATAACCTTGATAATTAACTAGACTATCAAATTCAATAATTATATCTATATCTATAAAAATAAATAAAATCGGAGTGTCTGTCTGTAATATTAAAATAACCGCTTTTAACTAAATGCATATGTATGTTTACACGGTACATATGCCAAAATAACATTTTTTACAATTTTTGTCTCTCTGCCTGTCTGTCTGTTTGTTCTGGGTAATCTCTGGAACGGCTGGACCGATTTCGACGGGACTTTCACTGGCAGCTAGCTGATGACATAAGGAATAACTTAGGCTACTTTTTTTAGACTAGCTTTGCCCCGCGGCGTTGCCCGCGGTTGTAACAACAAACGCGGGTAACACCGCGGGTCTCAGCTAGTATTATATATAATTAAAATTTAAAAAGATTAAAATCCGATTCATAGTCCCAAAAAAAAAAGGTCTCCATTTGAATAGGGTAGTACCTATGTAAAAAAATACTATTGTAAAAATCGGCCAAGTGCGTGTCGAGCCACTCCCAGTGTAGGGTTTCGTTTTTCATTCAGATTATAAACATTGCACATTAACAATTAATCGACTAACCTATGAAAGTTTCCTTCGTTGTGATAGTTTTCCTTTTAAATTCGTTATATTTACTATTACCGTGAATTTTTTCAAATCTCCAAATAGTCCCGTTACGCTAGAAGGTCACCCCTTCTAGGGGGCGGGAGTGGCACTTGACTGCGACTAAAATCAGCGCTTTAAGGCTTAATATCTCACAAACGGATACCTTAATCAAAACATTGTCTTCACAACCCCTTATTATTTTTAAAAGACCTATTCAATGACACCCTATATCATGGGATGGCTGAATATTTAAAAAAACGTCCCCATTTTAAAGGTACTGGAAGTACCCCAAACAAAGTTTTTATTTCCTCTTCATCTGATTAGTACCTATGTATGTTCATGCAATTACAGGTTTCTAGCACTAATAGTGTAAGTATCTATACAAATAAATAAAATTGGAGTGTCTGTTTGTAATATTAAAATAACCGTTTTTTACTAAATGCATATGTATGTTTACACGGTACATATGCCAAAATAACATTTTTTACAATTTTTGTCTGTCTGTCTGTTTGTTCCGGGTAATCTCTGGAACGGCAGGACCGATTTCGACGGGACTTTCACTGGCAGATAGCTGATGACATAAGGAGTAACTTAGGCTACTTTTTTTAGACTAGCTTCGCCCCGCGGCGTTGCCCGCGGTTGTAACAACAAACGCTGGTAACACCGCGGGTCTCAGCTAGTTATCTATATAATCAAAATGCTTTTCCCCTATTTATTTTTTTAATCTGGTTATGGTTATTATTAGTGTTATGGTTTATTATATAGTTTGACTCGCTGTCTGTGTATATTATTTGTTGAAAATTCAGGACGTATAACTAAAAAAATACTTGTTACAGGACTTGGCAAGAAATGTATGCCTGGAAATCATGGAGGAATATTGATGTATTCACCATTGAAGGTGGTGAAACTCTATTGTGGACAGACTTGGTCGACTCTAGTAAGAAATATGAATGTTGTAAAGTTCGATGATTGTCACTTGTAAGAACGTAGTTTAACGCCATCTATTGTTTACGATCTTACAACTCTGTACTGCTTATACATCTAGCTACCTACAATTACCTACAATTAAGAATTCACTCACGTTTAGTTATTTTAAATTAGTATTTAATTTTTTCCTTCTGAACTTATAATCTTCTGAAATTATATTTATTTATTTTTACTGGAAGAACTGAAAAGTATTAATGGTTAAAGTAATGTTTGAATACTTTTTCGTGAAAGTGTAATTTAAAAAAGAATGCTTTACAACGCCATCTATGTTTTATTAAAAAGACTATGACAGATTTGTGGACAGTGCGTGACTAACGGAATACAGCGTTATAATACTTTGGAAGTGCAAACTGCTAAAATGGTTAAACAAATGATCTGCTGCTAAATACTTATTTACTTTAACTTTAATAAAAACCGGTACATAAATGTGTAGACCAATATAAGTACATACGAGAGGTCAATTTTTTTTCTATTTAATATTTTGACCTCTTATGTAACAAAAATCTATACAATGCCAATTTGAGAAATTTAAAATGGTTGAAATTCTGTCCGACCGTTAATCGTAGTAGTAGTAGTGATTTCTAGTAAAACTTGATAATAAAATTTTGCAGGTAACCTGGACTATCATTTGTGGCCTCGTGCTGCAGCTGTTGCAGAGAGGCTCTGGTCGGATATAACCATTAATGGAAGTGCAAGCGCCCCTGTTTATATAAGACTGGATAGCCACAGGTGGTTTTGGTGTTTTTTATGTACTTATTTACGCATAAAAAGTATACAAGTATATTCTATCAGTCAATCTAAATTTCATAGTACAAGCTCTGCTTAGTTTTAAACAAGATGGCGTTGTGTGTCAGATGTCCGAAAATATTATATTAGTTTTTACTTTTATATCATTACACATCAAGTTTATTATAATAAATATTAAAACAAAAGTGGTGGTTACCTGTAAGTAATTGTAACATTGTTGTTTTTCATTACAAGTCTGTGATGTAAACAATTGTTAGTAAACCTGAATTAAGAAAATAATCTATGGACCCCCGGTCGGAACGAAGTTCCTTTCGCTTTATGATGTTATATCTTATTTACTATATCATATTTTCATGAAGAATTTTATTGAGAATAGGTAAGTTATAGTTACTAGGTAAAGATTTTGATTTAATTAGGTAAAAAAAGTCGCACATTTTTTTAATAATATTACATAATTCAGTTTATTTTTCGCTTTTTAGTGTTTTTTAGAAGGGAGTTTTCGTTTGATGTTTTTTTTATAGGTCAATTTTTTTTAAATTTGTTTATTTTCAATTTTTAGTGTAAATAATCATAGGTACGTAGTAGGTTAAACTACTTCATATAACTTCCAAAAGGTAGCGACCTACGGAAGTCGACCACCTTCAAATGTTATATTACTGTTGATGCGAATAACTGTGGTGGTTTGATGCACGAATTGAAACTGAATAAAAACTGAAAATAGGCTCCAGAGTTATGATGAGACGCAACATTTCTGTTACCAAAGGGCCTGGTCACTAGTCCAAGTATCTTATCCAAATTTTAATGGCCTGCCCTTCGCCGTGATCAAATAGAATCTGGCGATTCGCTGTGGCACATTGTGGTAGCAAAAAATAGAAAATAACCATCTTTTAAGCTTGTTGTATATCGTGTTAAAGTTTGAATTCAATCGGTGCAGAACTTTTTGAGTTTTTGAAGTGTGCACAAAACAACTTAACATTTTTAAATACCTATATATTTTATACATGTATAGATAATGACCACTCTACTGGTACAAAATCACAACCGCCTGGCGCTATGGCAACTAACCCCGTTCAACATCCCCGTATTATTTATTAATTTGTGAATCACACATCTTAATCCGTGTGGTGATGGATTAAGAATACGGTGTGTCACCACCCCTATTAATCCCGTGGGTGTCGTAAGAGGCGACTAAGGCAGCTAACGCAGGACAACCAGCACTGCAAAGAGAAGGAAAACTTGACAGAAACCCTATACCAACCCGTCTGGCCAGCGTGGTATAGTAGGCCAAAACCTCCTTTCTAAGGAGAGGCCTATGTCCAGCAGTGGACTATTAAAGACTGTTGATGATGATGATAATGATGATGAATCACACTAAGTGTCCCGTGTGGCGATCGGACCCACAACACTCAGCGCAATAGGAAGCGGTGAGGTGACCGCTTTGACTACTACGCCATCTGTGTAGTCAAATTATTTAAAATTATATTTCAGCCTCATAGTACAAACTGCTTCAAGCTAAGCCGGGGACAAGTAAGCAGACAGACGAACATATAAAAACTATATTAGGGGTTATTTTTAGGATATACTTTACCCGGGGGTTGTGCGGTCCATGGTATGGACGACGATTGAAGCGAGTCCTGGCTATCAGGGTCATAAGAGGGTACCGCACGATCTCCTTTGAGGTGGCAAGTCTCCTGGCTGGAACTCCACTGGGTATTCTTTGTGTCTGTTTCATGTATGCTTGTAAAGTCCCCCGCGACACAGTGTCTTTTAAAAGAAATGAACCTATGTTACTTGACATAGTAACTCCGAATTTCCTCCACAGATGGCGTATGCTTCAGAAGAGAATAAACGTTCAACCTATATGGCCAAAGTATTGCTCCTACAACCCCGAACAATGTATCCAGCAATTGCGTTCGTAATAAATGTAGGAACTGCATTGGTTTGTTTCATTTTCCTTCCTTTACTATTATTCATCATTTAAATAATTTCATTTAGTTTGTATAAAGTATTTTGCGAGTGTTATTGCACACGAGGTTCGCGTCAGCCCCAGATCTAGGAGGGGGGGGGGGGAGGGAGGGACAAGCCGGGACACCGGTACACCCGACCCGGCAGTTTCCGGGGGCGCCAAAGTCATAACAAAGTATGATTCAAAACAAAAAACTTGCTCCACATAGCGCCTCCGGAAACCTGGTTGGCTCACCGTCGACTTGTAAGGAAAAGGCGCCACACAGGCGCACACTACAAGTGAACCAATATATTTGAGAGTTATTTTAGAAATTTATATAAAACGCTGGAGAGAGGGACACCACTATTAAGGTTTATTTTTTAAATTTAAAAAAAAAGCCGGTGGTGCTGGTGTCGTGGGACACCCGATAGGAACGAAGTTGTTTAAAGTTAAAACTGATTTGACACGATATTAATTACAACGCCATCTATGAAAGAGGCTATTACCTACATGTTAAAAACAATTAAAACAATTTATACATTGGTAAAATCTCCTTGCGAAATGATTTCCTATCTATTCGATAGATGGCGCTGAATGTCTGACAAGATGACACGAAAAAATATTATTACTAATCATAGTTCATACTTTCATCAAATTCATGGCTTACGTTGTATGTTATAATAAGATTTACTTTAATTTAAAAAAAACTTTAATTTAAAAAAATATTTACTTAGTTTTATTTCCTAAATTCAAAATTTCAAGAAATATAATGTTCAAAAAATATAATGTTGACATTTGGGTAGGCCGTGGAAACACTCAAAACCACCAGAAAGATAATAAAATATGAAATAACATTACAAGCCTACACTATACTCACATTTACATACTTACACAAAAAAAAAACAATACAATTCAAATTCAAAGAAAAATAAAATACGAAAACAAAATACGAAATACACCAAAAAAAAAAACATGCGGTAAAATTAAATAAAGAGCAAAAAGCCAACATCACGTGGTATTCCCAGGCGGTCACCCATCCAAGTACTAACCACGCCCGATGTTGCTTAACTTCGGTGATCGGACGAGAACCGGTGTATTCAACATGGTATGGACGTTGGCGAACGTTAAAGCAAATTTAATGTATGGTATCCACAGTTAGACGTCAATTTATATTAATAAAAAAGTGTCGCGTCCCAAATTTTTGTATGATTTTTTTCCGTCTAGCCCCCTTTCACAACGCGCGATAAGGAACTTCGTTCCAAAAATAAAACCTAGCTAGATCGATTAATCGCCCCCGAAACCCCCTGAATACTAAATTTCATGAAAACCGTTGGGGCTATTTCCGAGAACTCTCCGTTGGAACTCTCCATATTACCGCATAAAACGGTCGCTTTTTAAGGTAGTTTCAAAGATATGGAACAATTTACCGCTGCCTATAAGATCATCAAATATTATTGGCACTTTTAAATTTAGATTGCGGTAATATCTCATGGACGCACAGCGGAAACTGGATATGGCCAATGTAAACACTTCCCTTATTTAACGAAAGGCTCTCACCAGCATGCCCAATACATAGGCATATTATGCCTATTGATTTATGTTGTGTGTATCGTAGTGCATATTGGCATGATTTGTATATCTGTTTTTTGTCTTGTTATATATTATTGCTATATGTTATTAACCCTATGAAATTATGTACACAGCTTAGCAATTGGATCTGCAACTGGTTTTACGCATAGCCTCATTTTGGGCACAATTGAAAACCAGCTTAGGTTTTTCTCTTCTTTCTTTTATTTAGATATATATACAAGAATTGCTCGTTCAAAGGTAGATAGATATCGCTAGTGACGCACTATAAAGTTTTGTTTTTATCTTCTTTACAGGACTGCACAACTTTTAGCTAGATTTGATGTCAGTGTTTAGATAACGTTACCAAGTTCTATGTGAGCCATTTCCATTATTTAAATTAAAAAACTATTTAAGATTTTTACTTTAGTCTGCAACAATTGAGTTCTTCAATAGGGTGGTTGAAACTGCCAAGTACAATTATATTTTATCTGTCCCCATTTTTTGATTGACGGTTCCCATCAAAGGTCAACCAAATCCGGTAATGTTATTATGTTCTTCTGAAAATAACAATTCTGTTATTGTTAGTAAATGTATTAGGAAGATGGAGGCCAGGTGTCTGTGTTCACCGAAGGTGACTTTAACATGTGCTTATTAGTTCATCATATAACTCAACAGATGTCACTGTACATATGACGTCATCTATGTATTGCGGTGTTAAGAATCTCGGCAAGGGAATGACTTCCCTCGTTGAATTTAGTTTAGTTATCGCTTCTCGGCCTTTTGGCTAAGATCAAAGTGTAGTATCTGTTCTTTTCAGCTTAATATCTGAAAGTTCCCTCATTGAGGGACCAGTATATTAAACTGATTTTTGTAAGCTGACGGGATGTTCGGGGCTCGCTCCACTCCCGTCACGGGTCGGCCCGGCATTGCAGTGCCGCCGGGAACGGCCCACATAATACCTTGTACTACTTTTAAATAAAACCTTAGTACAGTAAGTTTACCCTATAAACTTACTGTTCTCATTATTGAATTCTACTTAAACTAATACGAAAGTTGGTATTTTCTATGGGAACCAAGGAAGAAGGTACAACAAACAAAATAGGTGTCGATATAAATTCAACTAGTTATCAATCTCACCAATTCAATATGTTCATCCTCATCACATACGGAGGTATGGGCAGGGTGAAGATTTTAAATAGATGAATTGAAAAAGAATTTGATAGAAGATTTGATAGGCAAAATATGCCGTTTTTTTTAAAAACTTATGCCCTTTCATTCACCAGAAGATTGTTTTTAATTCTATCGTTATGTGCTGTGATATTATTATGACGGTTTTTGTCACTGTTTCCTCACGGTCATACTAGTTTGTCATTGAAATTATTAAATGCACGTATCGAATCGAATATTATTATTGTTTTAGAGGTTGACTGGCAAGCCAGGTCATGGGTTTGATTCCCACCCAGGACAAATAATGTGACGAGTACGATTATTAAATTAGCTACAGACGTAGATAATTTGATCTGCAAACTGTGGTGGTGGAATTGATCCAAATATATATTTAAGTGTTTAGAATATATAAGTATGTTTATCAACAATCTGGTTACCATAGTACAGGCTCTGGCTAGTTTGGGATTAGGCGGTCGTGTGTGAGATGTGTGAGGTTATTATCATTATATTATAAATAGATTAACTTGGTGAACGAAGTGAAGTGGAATGTTGGATTCGAACCAATTAAAACCACATAGGATTTTAAAAAAAAAACCTGCTGAAATCCATGAAAATAAATGAAACAACCAGTTCAATTATATTTACAAACATTAATTGTTTATTCGTTAAAGAGAAAATATATCACCTCCTTCAAAGTTCTATTATAAAGAAGGCACAGTACATTACGTGATCGTGTATATATTACAATATACCGCCACAATTACATGAATAAAACTACCGATAAGCTAAAAAATGTCAATAAATTTGGTAAAAAATTTAGATGGTACGCAAAACCCCGGAATAATATTTCATGGGCATATTAAAACCACAGCCGGTACAGGGATTATATCGTCCGTGGTCCGAACAAAACATATTCCGTGTTGATTCGGACTTCAATAAATCCCTTAACGTTATTATTTAAACGGCGTACCAACTTCAATTACAAAATCTTTTTTTAAATTTTACATTATGAACTGTAATAAATAAAATCACAATTGAAATTGTAATTTTTACACGTTCTAGTTTTACCAACACACTATATTTTTTACTATACTTCTGTCTTATATAAAAGGTCTTTAATTATACATACTTTTTAAAAAAGCTACCCAATATGTATTAATAATATTTGAATGAAATTATAGATTACAGAGCTGCGACAATTAAATTTTAATGTAATTTGCGAATATTTTGTAACAATACAATTATTATTATTGATATTCATCTACTAAAAAGCATTCTGTAATACAAAATAAGACTAGTAGGTAATTTTTTTACTAAGTTTTATTAAAAAAATGGAAGAATGCGATATTTTAAGTAACAGACTAAGCACCTTTTATGGAACTGTTGTAGTAGTTTAGAGGCACATTGTTATTATTATTTCTATTTATAACTGGTAATATATATCTTATTATTATTTGTTTAATACTTTGAACGCAATTGTGGTTACATTTTAACTAACTTTAATTAGAATTGTTATGATTAATATGTGACATCATTTCATCGAATTGTAGGCGTATAGAATGCTCGGTTGGTTCATTATTCTCACAAATGTTGACAGTCATGCTGCCATGAGTTTCTACGCATACATGACCAGACTGTTCAAGCTTTCATTTAAAATATTTATTTAATCATTATTTATTTAGGTCTATTTTTAAATTTAAATTTAATTTCTATAACGTTCATGTAATGTAACAAAACTTGGGCTTTGTGTTTTTTTTTTGTATAGTGTAACCCACGTTATAAGTTGTAAAAAAATTGTATTAAGTATGTGGTTTTGTGCGTTCAAAGATATTATGGCAGTCATGATATGACATTGGCTTGTAAATATTAGTTATTTAATTATAACAAGTTTTTCCATTAAAAAAACTAAACTAAGCATCTATAAGATCAACAAAACTTAACTTAGAGAATAATATTATGTTCATAGGGTCTGAGAACATGGTACACTCAGTTTTTATTGAACTAGTACGTACTATTGTTATCAGGAGCCTTACTATTATTATGTAATTCTACAAATAAGAATAAGGTATGTGAAAGAGGAACCAAAAAGCCAAAGATTCATGTTTTTTCCATTTTGGATTTAATTTTATAAAATCTGCTTAATGAATTTAATGGAAACTGAAGGTCATTGCGAACATAATGACCCATTAAAAAGTTAAAATGGACGAGGTCGGGAAGATACTTTTTTATTGCAAAATAACTTTGAAAACAGGTTTCTTTTCATAATGACCTGCTTTCAAAGTTATTTTCGCAATATCTCGGCAATAAAGCATTGTATCAAAAAAAGTTGAATACAAACGTTTCCGCGAGATTTCACTAAATTTCATCCAGAATCGAAATCAACAACAACAACAACAAATCAAAATCAACAACAACAATCAAATAATCAATATCTCTGGCACCCCGACTAAGTCTTTATATTAATATTTAATTGTACAAGACTTTAAAATGACAGCTCGAGTTGTACTGGTCAATGATATTAGAAAACATTCATTACCTAATTATTTAAGGTGCTCATCAGTAACATAATAATGCATAGGCCATTACCTTGATAATTAACTAGACTATCAAATACAATAATTACATATTATACTAGCTGACCCGCGCAACTTCGTCTGCGTCTCTCAATAGTAATAAATTTTCTCCGTTTTTGAAACATTCTTCATTGGTGCTCCGCTCCCATTGGTCTTAGCGTGATGATATATAGCCTATAGCCTTCCTCGATAAATGGACTATCTAACACTGAAATAATTTTTCAAATCGGACCAGTAGTTCCTGAGATTAGCGCGTTCAAACAAACAAACAAACTCTTCAGCTGTATAATATTAGTATAGATTTAATATTAAAATCCGATTCATATTTCCAAAAAAAAAATAGGTCTCCATTTTAATAGGGTAGTCTATGTAAAAAAATACTATTGTAAAAATCGGCCAAGTGCGTGTCGAGCCACTCCCAATGTAGGGTTTCGTTTTTCATTCAGATTATATACATTGCACATTAACAATTAATCGACTAAACTATGAAAGTTTCCTTCGTTGTGATAGTTTTCCTTTTAAATTCGTTATATTTACTATTACCGTGGATTTTTTCAAATCTCCAAATAAGCCCATTTGACCTACTCCCGCCCCCTAGAAGGTCACCCCTTCTAGGGGACGGGAATAGCACTTGACTGTGACAAAAATCAGCGCTTTAAGGCTTAATATCTCACAAACGGATACCTTAATCAAAACATTGTCTTCACAACCCCTTATTATTTTTAAAAGACCTATTCAATGACACCCTATATCATGGGATGGCTGAATATTTAAAATATCGTCCCCATTTTTAAGGTACTGGAAGTACTTCAAACAAACTTTTAGTCAAGATTTTATTTCCACTTCATCGGCGTGATTAGTACCTATGTATGTTCATGCAATTACAGGTTTCTAGCACTAATAGTGTAAGTATTTTCTATATAATCAAAATACTTCTCCCCTATTTTTTTTATTAATCTGGTTATGGTAATTATTGGTGTTCATCATCTGCCTACCCTTTTCCCAATTTTATTTGGGGTAGGCGCAGTATGCATGATTTTTCCATTCTACCCTGTCATGCGTCATCTCACTGTTTACTCCCTTCCTAGCCATATCCTCACTGACGCAGTCCATCCACCTCTTCTTCGGTCTGCCTCTTCTCTTGTACCCTTCAACTCTCATACCTAAAACTTTCTTCGCCACATTTTCCTCATCCCTCCTGGTTATTATTGGTGTTATGGTTTATTATATAGTTTGACTCGCTGTCTGTGTATATTATTTGTTGAAAATTCAGGACTTAAAACTAAAAAAATAATTGTTACAGGACTTGGCAAGAAATGTACGCCTGGAAATCATGGAGGAATATTGATGTATTCACCATTGAAGGTGGTGAAACTCTATTGTGGACAGACTTGGTCGACTCTAGTAAGAAACTGAATGTTTTAAAGTTCGATGATTGTCACTTGTAAGAATGTAGTTTAACGCCATCTATTGTTTACGATCTTACAACTCTGTACTGCTTATACATCTAGCTACCTACAATTACCTACAATTAAGAATTCACTCACGTTTAGTTATTTTAAATTAGTATTTAATTTTTTCCTTCTGAACTTATAATCTTCTGAAATTATATTTATTTATTTTTACTGGAAGAACTGAAAAGTATTAATGGTTAAAGTAATGTTTGAATACTTTTTCGTGAAAGTGTAATTTAAAAAAGAATGCTTTACAACGCCATCTATGTTTTATTAAAAAGACTATGACAGATTTGTGGACAGTGCGTGACTAACGGAATACAGCGTTATAATACTTTGGAAGTGCAAACTGCTAAAATGGTTAAACAAATGATCTGCTGCTAAATACTTATTTACTTTAACTTTAATAAAAACCGCTACATAAATGTGTAGACCAATATAAGTACATACGAGAGGTCAATTTTTTTTCTATTTAATATTTTGACCTCTTATGTAACAAAAATCTATACAATGCCAATTTGAGAAATTTAAAATGGTTGAAATTCTGTCCGACCGTTAATCGTAGTAGTAGTAGTGATTTCTAGTAAAACTTGATAATAAAATTTTGCAGGTAACCTGGACTATCATTTGTGGCCTCGTGCTGCAGCTGTTGCAGAGAGGCTCTGGTCGGATATAACCATTAATGGAAGTGCAAGCGCCCCTGTTTATATAAGACTGGATAGCCACAGGTGGTTTTGGTGTTTTTTATGTATTTATTTACGAAAAGAAGTATACAAGTAGGTATATTCTATCAGTCAATCTAGATTTCATAGTACAAGCTCTGCTTAGTTTTAAACAAGATGGCGTTGTGTGTCAATATTATATTAGTTTTTACTTTTATATCATTACACATCAAGTTTATTATAATAAATATTAAAACAAAAGTGGTGGCTACCTGTAAGTAATTGTGACATTGTTGTTTTTCATTACAAGTCTGTGATGTAAACAATTGTTAGTAAACCTGAATTAAGAAAATAATCTATGGACCCCCGGTCGGAACGAAGCTCCTTTCGCTTTATGATATTAACTATATCTTATTTACTATATCATATTTTCATGAAGAATTTTATTGAGAATAGGTAAGTTATAGTTACTAGGTAAAGATTTTGATTTCATTAGTTAAAAATAGTCGCACATTTTTTAATAATATACGAGTACATAATTCAGTTTATTTTTCGCTTTTTAGTGTTTTTTAGAAGGGAGTTTTTGTTTGATGTTTTTTTTATAGGTCAATTTTTTTTTAAATTTGTTTATTTTCCATTTTTAGTGTAAATAATCATAGGTACGTAGTAGGTTAAACTACTTCATATAACTTCCAAAAGGTAGCGACCTACGGAAGTCGACCACCTTCAAATGTTATTACTGTTGATGCGAATAACTGTGGTGGTTTGATGCACGAATTGAAACTGGGTATAGGCTCCAGAGTTATGATGAGACGCAACATTTCTGTTACCAAAGGGCCTGGTCACTAGTCCAAGTATCTTATCCAAATTTAAATGGCCTGCCCTTCGCCATGATCAAATAGAATCAGGCGATTCGCTGTGGCACATTGTGGTAGCAAAAAATAGATAATAACCATCTTTAAAGCTTGTTGCATATCGTGTCAAAGTTTGAACTGAATCGGTGAAGAACTTTTTGAGTTTTTGAAGTGTGCACAAAACAACTTAACATTTTTAAATACCTATATATTTTATATATGTATAGATAACGACCACTCTACTGGTACAAAATCAAAAGGGCCTGGCGCTATAGCAACTAACCACGTTCAAAATCCCCGTATTATTTATTAATTTGTGAATCACACATCTTAATCCGTGTGGTGATGGATTAAGAATACGGTGTGTCACCACCCCTATTAATCCCGTGGGTGTCGTAAGAGGCGACTAAGGCAGCTAACGCAGGACAACCAGCACTGCAAAGAGAAGGAAAACTTGACAGAAACCCTATACCAACCCGTCTGGCCAGCGTGGTATAGTAGGCCAAAACCTCCTTTCTAAGGAGAGGCCTATGTCCAGCAGTGGACTATTAAAGACTGTTGATGATGATGATAATGATGATGAATCACACTAAGTGTCCCGTGTGGGGATCGGACCCACAACACTCAGCGCAATAGGAAGCGGTGAGGTGACCGCTTTGACTACTACGCCATCTGTGTAGTCAAATTATTTAAAATTATATTTCAGCCTCATAGTACAAACTGCTTCAAGCTAAGCCGGGGACAAGTAAGCAGACAGACGAACATATAAAAACTATATTAGGGGTTATTTTTAGGATATACTTTACCCGGGGGTTGTGCGGTCCATGGTATGGACGACGATTGAAGCGAGTCCTGGCTATCAGGGTCATAAGAGGGTACCGCACGATCTCCTTTGAGGTGGCAAGTCTCCTGGCTGGAACTCCACTGGGTATTCTTTGTGTCTGTTTCATGTATGCTTGTAAAGTCCCCCGCGACACAGTGTCTTTTAAAAGAAATGAACCTATGTTACTTGACATAGTAACTCCGAATTTCCTCCACAGATGAATGATGATGATTGGGCGCTGTTGCCAATAACAAGTTATCTCAGAGAGCTCTGTAAAAATATAAGTTTTAAAAATAATAAATGTGCTTTAAATACTCATTATTTTACATTAGCGGATAGATTTCAAACCAATTATTTAGTGTGAATGTTATCTTTTGAATAAAATAAGAATTCAGCAAAAAAACAGCTTGATAAAAATTAAACAGTACTCTCAGTGTGAAAAAGTGATAAATGACAGTTAATAAACTATAAATAATCTGAAGAAAGTAGTGCTGAAATAAAGTGATAAGTTGTGAACCAAATAAACAATTTTGGAAAAAGTGAATTAAGCTATGTTGTGAGAACATTTTTGCACCATGACTCATACATAACGACTTGCTTGAATTCAAATACATCTTGCGAGGAAAGTGATCTCTAATTTCAGTTAATCGTCTAAAAGCCTTAGATAGTCGATAGCGATAACGGGGCCCCTTTCAATCGCAAGTCGCGAGATCTAATTCAGCGTCGGCTTGTTGTTTTTGTGTTTTTTTTTTTTTTTTTTGTTTTTTTTTTGTTTTTTGTTTTTTTTTTTTTTTTTTTTTTTTTTTTTTTTTTTTTTTTTTTTTTTTTTTTTTTTTTTTTTTTTTTAAAGTAATAGATTTGAAAATGGAGTTTGAAAACGTTACACTGCGTTCTAAGCGAAAATCTTTGTCGTATCATGATATATCAAATCTTTCTACTGGCTCGTTATTTGAAACAACGATACAGAGTCTACCAAATACATCAATAGATGGCACTAACAGGTGCTGTGAGATACTTAACGATCGAATATGCGAAATGGATGCGAAGTTACTGACTGCAAATAATGAAATAGATAATTTACTTCAAGAAAACGAAAACTTAAAAGTTGAATTGAAAAAGTGCTATGATGTTATAAATATGTACAAAAAAATATCGAACATCGACAGTAATAAAAAATCACAGTTAACTCGTAAACAAAGAAGAAATACAATACAAATTGACTCAAACGAAGCATATGACAATAATGTAATACGAGTATCATCACCCTTACCCGACAAAAATAAAATGAACTACAAAACTATTAAAGTAAATGCTTCAACACAAACGGTTGACGTCGACTTAAAATTACATAAAAAACAAATAACGTCTATCAATGTGTCACAATATCATGAACAAGACAAATGTACTTTAGCTACTAAATTGGCAACAGAACGTGCACCAACAAATCAAAAATGTGACAGAAAGGTTATGAATAGCAAGCGCAAAGTATGTATCTTGAGTAGTAACAAAACAAACAAAGTTCTATCGATAGCCGAAGGTAAATTTCGGAACTCTGCGTTATGTCATTACTTGTATCCTAACTGTGGAATTGTACAACTATTTACTAATTTGAAAACGAAACTTTTAAACTATACACTAAAGGACTATTGTATTGTTTTCATTGTATCATCAGTATTGTAGACATTATAAATTTCTTAAATGCTAATAACCTAAAAATCAATCTGTCGAAAACAAAATTTATGAATTTTCAAATAAGACGAAAATGGACATCAGAAGTACACATCTCATATAAAGATGAAATCGTAGAAGAAAGTACAGTAACAAAATTTTTAGGGCTTCAAATTGATAATGACATGTCATGGAAAACTCAAATTAATTGTGTGTGTAATAAATTAAATACATTTTCCTATGCTTTATATATGCTATCAAAAGTAGCTAATGAAAATGCACTTCTTGCCGCTTATCACGGCTATGTGTCATCGACCTTAAGGTTCGGCATAATATTCTGGGGTAATGCCACAAATAAGCAAGACGTGTTTATAGCTCAAAAGAAATGTCTCCGAGCTATGTGTAAACTAAAAAGCACTGATACATGTAAGCCACACTTTTGTAAACTAAGACTATTGACATTTCCATCTATGTACATTTATGAAGTCTGCATGTTCGTGAGAAATAACATTTCTCTATTTTCTTTTATAGAAAGTCAACGTCGCTCCGACAAATTGCACTTATTAAAAGCCAAAACAGCACTTCTACATAAAAGTGTATACGCAATGGCACCAAAGCTGTACAATCATTTACCAAAACAAATAAGAGACCGTAAAAATGTTAATGAATTTAAAAGCAATCTCTTAAAATTACTTATTGACAAAGCATACTACTCCATAATAGATTTTCTGAATGATAAATTTTGACTTCAATTAGTTATGTATATGATTAGGTATTTGTAAATGACATTTATTTTGACGTTGTAATTATTAATTGTTTTAAAAAATTTAATTTATTTTGACATTTTATTTAGTATTTTGAACTTTTAATTATTTTGACATTTTCGATTATTCATTATTTTGACATATTTAGTTCGACTTTTTTGATTGTTAATTATTTGACATATTGAGTTTGTCATTTTTAATTATTTTAACATTTTTCCCGATTTAATCATCATTTATCAATATCAGTATGTTTTTAATTAAGAAATCAAATCAAAGTCTATTTTTATTGAATTGAATAAGTATATGATTACTGGACTTTAAACAGTTGTATTGCACAGGAATAATGAAATCCTTTTATTGTTTTGTATGCCTATTGGCGAAACATGGCGATCTTTTAAATATGGTTTGTAACATCTGAATTTACCTGTGTTTTACGAAATAAATGATTGATTGATTGATTGATTGAGATGGCGTATGCTTCAGAAGAGAATAAACGTTCAACCTATATGGCCAAAGTATTGCTCCTACAACCCCGAACAATGTATCCAGCAATTGCGTTCGTAATAAATGTAGGAACTGCATTGGTTTGTTTCATTTTCCTTCCTTTACTATTATTCATCATTTAAATAATTTCATTTAGTTTGTATAAAGTATTTTGCGAGTGTTATTGCACACGAGGTTCGCGTCAGCCCCAGATCTAGGAGGGGGGGGGGGAGGGAGGGACAAGCCGGGACACCGTTACACCCGACCCGGCAGTTTCCGGGGGCGCCAAAGTCATAACAAAGTATGATTCAAAACAAAAAACTTGCTCCACATAGCGCCTCCGGAAACCTGGTTGGCTCACCGTCGACTTGTAAGGAAAAGGCGCCACACAGGCGCACACTACAAGTGAACCAATATATTTG